CTCTGAAAACACAGCGTTGGTTACTGGGTCCGCTCGGAGGATAGACATATGACGGAATAGGATGTTCTTGATAGCAATGTTATGAGGGTGGTAAGTTAAGGAAAGTATGGATCTAAGGTACTGCCGTTTAGGCCTGGGGATGAAAGCATCCACCCGACTGATGCTCTGGGAGCGGCGGAAGGCAGATTCTAAGACAGACTCAGGATATCCACGTGATCGGAAGAAATTCATCATTTCGTTTCGACATCCTAGCACATCGGTCTGACCCATTCGTGTTTCGTCTTCCGAGGTGTGATGACCCTGCTTTGCATGGTCTCCACGAGTACATTGTGGCAAGCAGGAAGTCCGTGCTACAAGTGACGGCACGAGATACTTGTGGCCAGTGGAGTAAGCGAGGCGAAGCCCGAGCTAGCCTCGTGATCAGTCGATCATGAGAAGTCAGAGAAGACGGTTGTAGTATTTGAAGATGTCGTCTTTATGTCGCGAGAATGGTTAATGTTTGAATATGTCGCGAGTGCTAAAGTGTAAATAATGTTTGAATATGTGAAATAAATGGACCAGAAAAAACTGACAGAATGTATAATGAAGCTGAGCGGCGTTTGTGTTGTCAACCCTAGACGTTAAAGTCGGTGCAAACCAAGGTACATTCCACGAGGTAACAGCCATCTCAGCGTCCAAGAGGAGGTGATTTGCATACCTTCTTTCTTTATCCCGCAACCGGTTTATACATTCGTTTAATATCCATTTCCGATGGGCTGTTCATTGTCTCTAACCCCTGTGTCTCGACGCCCCTGGAAGGCAGCGCGTTCAGAATGTCTGCGTTGTCCACACTTTTTCTCTCACTAACAACTGCCCCCAAGGTCGTTCAGTTCCACTGCTTAAAAAAAAACAAATCGCCATGGTCAACCAAAATCTCAGCATTCTGTGCTTTTTTGACGGGGATCCTTTTTGTTTGTCTGTTGCTAATACAGTTACTGGTGGGACGAAAAAAAATAAGTAACACCCCAAGCATATTTGGCTTGCCTGCTTTTTGGCTTGCTTTGCGGGGAAAAAAAACGTCACGTTCAACCAACATTTCCGAAGGGAAGCTTTAGGTTACAACTCTGACTAAGCTATGTGCGCCATATAAAATGGCTTGGCACGCCACCAAGAGCCATAAAAAGGCCGCCTGCAGTGTTGATGCGATCAAAGGAGACAGACTCGAATACTGTCCCGACCGTCGACGAAGTCTTCTATTGGCGAGCCAATGGGTGACCCGGTCGCCGATGTCGAGTCGGAGTTTGTCAGTTTGGATCTTTTCAACACGGCCAGCTCCAGATTTATACAGCCGGGCGTGCTTTTCAAGTATGCTCATTGAGTATATCACTATGCGTAGTTGGTTAAACCTGACATCACGGTGACCGGGTGATGAACTACTTGTGGTCCGGGTTCACTTCCGAGGGTAGGCAGAAAAGCCACATTTCTCCCAGATTTACGGTACCTATCATGGAATCAAGGCCAAAGGGTTGCGATATCCATAGTCCCGAAGGGGGAAAAGGAGGGGGGGGGGGGGGGGAGACAGACCCAATGACCCCCTTATCAGGCAGGGGTGTTTCCTTCACAGTCAGAGTGCATCTGCCTGAGAGGCAAGGAACCAGCTGTCTGCATACTAATAAGTCAGATCTTTAAAATGGATGTGTATTCAAATCTCACCTCTGGAACAAGACCAAATTCCAGAACTTTCCAGTGGAGTATAATACAGCCAGTGAACCCGAAGAAGAAATAATTGTTCTGGTTGTTTTCAGTGTTTCAGCGTCATGCAGCAGTATTGATTTGACATTAGAGCTAAATATTTTATATCTAGTTCTAGCAAAGACTTTTATGCGAAGTTCTAGCATTTTAAACTAGTTTTTGAGCTTGGAGAGCGGAAGATATGATTCAAAACACAGCCCCTACTGAACATGGTCAGTAAGAAAGTCTCAACACCACTTTCAGTCTGACAGATCCAAGCCTTTTTCAGGACTCTAGGTAGCCTGAATTATGAGTTAAACCAATCCTCCAGAAGATTCATGAACCAACCAACCAACATTATCAAGAGAAAGTAAGGTCATCCCACCAAAATACTGGCATTCTTTTGGTGCAATGCGGTATCTGCTACATTAAGAATCGGAAAGTGCTCAATTTAATTAAAGGCCCAACTGTATGTTTGCCTGATAAGGAGAATTTGGAAGCAACAGAGATGTGGTTTTTGACACGAATACCTTGGATGGCCAGAGTAACTTACAACAATTACTTGAAAGAAGCTAATGAAAGTAGATCTCTATATACAACAATAAGAAAGAGACAAATACTGTACTTTGGCCACATAATGAGAAGAGAGACATTGGAGAACATCGTGACAACTGGAAAGATCAGTGGAAAAAGGGGTAGAGGCAGACCAAGAGAGATGATGCAGGATGGGCTGAAATGACGGCATTGAGGGATATCATCAAGAGAGCTGTTCCAGGCAACCAGGGATCGTGATCTGTGAAGACACATGAGCGCCTACGCCAGTTGGCAGGGCACATGATGATGATGATGTTTGCCTGCCAGTCCAAAAGTAGACAAAGAACAAGATGAAAACAACATCAGAACAATTCCACAACATCACAATGTGTCTATAGCTGAGGCGGACAGAAGAGCAAGAAGCATAATCTCTTATCTCTCTTGACACCCAAAATGGTAAAAGAGGAAGTAAAGAAAAAGGTGCTCCATCAGGCATATGATGCTAGACTCATATTATTATAGACTATTGACACTCACTGGATGAAGTGGTCAACATCATGCCGGCCATCTTTACTTTGTAGAACTTTATCTGGTATCCATTTTTGGCTAAGTAGACCTGGAAGGGAAGATCATTTGTCAAAAGTCAGACTTAATGAGGATTCAAACCAAAGAATTTTGGGCCAGTTAGTAAGCCTCTAGCCGCTATGCTATTGTTGCCCCCTTCTATGGGTTAAAGTAGCTAGCTTTATTACTACAACACACTCAGTAGTGGCTGGAGAAACTTGCACCAACTTTTGAGCATAGGCAACTGTCCTTCTTTTAGTGGTGCAGACTCTCAACAACAAGCAGAACTGAATAATAAAACTGCCATATACCAGACTTTAAATCGATCCTCCAGGCTTTCTCATGTTTCAAACAGTAAAAAAAAAAGTAAAGGACCCCTTCCACGCCTTTAGGCGTATAGGGCATATAGGGCTATATTTTTATAGACCAACCGCACAAGATGGGTGATGTGGTCAGCATCACGCCGGCCGCCTCTACTTCCCGGGATTGCACCCGGTACCCACTCAAGGCTGGGTCGACCTGGGAGCCAAGGTCATCATGTTTCAAACAGGACAGGATTATCTGCCAAATAATTTAAAAAATAATCAGAATGCTGTGCACAAGAACCAAACCAGCCTTCCAGTGGATACCGACCCCCCTGTGGTAGTTAAAGCAGTCCATGAAGACTTAACTGGAGAGAGAAGAATAACAACTACAGAAAAAAACAGGCTTAGCAAAAATGCTCAGGCAAACATCAGACTCAGTACGGGACACTGTAAACTCAGAGCACACCTACTTCAAATGGGTCTTGCTAACTCTGCTGCATGTGGTTGTGGCTCAACAAAGCAGACTCCAGAGCACTTCTTACGGGACTGCCTGGACTTTGTCAGTCAGAGAGAAGAAATCAGGGCCACAGGAGCATCCCTACAAGATAAACTATAGGGCATGGGTGAACCGCATCATCCTGTTTATGACCTATACTGGAACAGATGCATAGCAAACACTGATTGCTGAAGAAGAACTAGTACAACAACAATGACCAAGGTAAAGTGCTAACTTCCTCTCAGACCATACAGAAGTGGGGTATCTCTAAATAAAAATGTGGTTTGAAGAAGGTGGCAAGTTGTGAATGAATTAATAAAAGAATAAATCTATTTTCAAAGGGTCATAAAATGGGCGCACTGGTCTGTCTTATATTAGGCCCTTTCAAACATTCATCACTGACATGACAACACTATTTTATATGTAATGCATATTATGTTCATATTTCAAAATTCATAGTATGAATGTTAAGTGAAAATACAAAAGTATGGTTGGCAAATACATACACACATAAGACAGACATACACGACGCAGACACAAAAGCAAGCAAACACAAATGATGCACACACAAACACAAAACACACACAGACATAACATACATGGGCACAAATGCATTCACAAATACAACACATCCAAATAAACTAGCACACAAGACAAACACAGATAAGACATAGTAACAAATACCTACATATTCTAAGACACACAGTGAACTGTAGTATAGTGAGTCCAAGCTTCAGAGGCTGCAGAAGAAGCTTTAAGATGAAAGGTTCCCAGAGAAAGAAACAAATCACAATGCCCTAGTGTGTACATGATTTGTAGGCCCCTAAGAATAGTCAGACAATATTATCAATAGCAAATATATCTTCTCAAGCTGGCTCATTTTGTAGGGACACCAGAAAATTTGGCAGCTGTGACCCAATGGTACCCCTCTCCCTGCCCCCCCCCCCCCCCCACACTCTTTTGAATTTGCAGATGAAAGATGAGAAGGAAACCATTTCTTATGATCAAAACAACCTGCTGTGATTGTTCTATGGTAGAGTTTAAAGTATTTCTATTGAATTATAGTATTTATTATAAAACAAGAACACAATGTCAAAGTGTTTCCTATTAGCGCATTTAGTATTTACAGCCTCCAATGATGAACAAGGTTAGAACACTTCAGATCATTATTTTATTACCAAATACAAATAAATTGCATTAAAGTGAAAGTGTTATAGCAATGTTGGGTTGTTCATAACATTGCAGGCATTGCAATGTCTACACAATATACGGACATGTAATAAAATATTGTAGCATATTTGCAAGTAAATTGCTGTCAAAACACACTGTGTTAAATGTTACTTTGCAGCCGAATGTTGACAGTTGCAAGCACATCATTGCTGATCACAAGGTTAACACTTCTGAAGATGGCAAAACCTGTTTCTATAGAAAAAAAAAGGTTGTTAAAAAACTTTTTTATTTTATTTAATCAAGTGGAGACAAACATAACAGTGATTCACATGCTAAATCCTCACGGCTTTGAATCCTTACAAGGCAGATATCTAAACCTGACCCTGACGCCTAGCCCTCATCATCAACTACTGCCTTGCTCATTGGCATGGGTGATCATGCCTCTCCACAACTTGCAATCTCTAAGAGCATGTATCAGTTCATGAGCTAACATCCTTCCATGCCATGACAAACGAGTGTCAAGAATCTTCTTGCACTGTCTTTCTCTTTCTACAAATCTCTCCATTTATTACTACAAGTTTCAGTTTCTTTTTTCTTATAACATGGCCAAAAATGATGACATATCTCTTTCCAATATTTGTGACAAGCTGTCTACAGGCCCCAACCTCTTTAAAACATTTGGGTTACACGTTTGGGTTGTCCAACAAAAAATGTGAGACATTCTGCAAAACCACATCTCTGAGACCTCAGGCAACTAGCTGTTCAACAATGCAGCCTTAGGTTAAATCTGGATCTATACTGAAAAAGAATTCTTGTTCTAACCTCCCATAAAAGACACTTCCTGCGTGAAATGTTTGTTCTTCTTTCTAATGCTTTCTGTTCCTATTCTATGCTGTTCTTCATCTCTGTGACACATCTTCCCTCTGATGTTATCTATATCTCAGAGACACTAAGTAACACATACAAACCCACATGGGAAGGCTGCAAGAATAATACTGCCAACATCAGCTTTTCAGTGGTAATTAGTTTGTGAAATATGAGATTGGCACCATATACACATTCATGCTTATGACGTGGAAAAGGGCTGTTTACTTTTCTTGTACTCTGTTACATAGGCAGTTCAAGATACAACAGGACACAATTATTTAACTTTTCCAGAATGGTGGAAGAAATATAACATTAAATGTGAACGTTTAAAAAGCACAGTATTTTGGAAAGTCACATATATTTATGTGGAAACATAGAATAACAATACAGCAAGTTCATGACAGATTTTCTTAACAAGACAATGGACAAACACATGAGCTGATGATGCACAAATGCAAAGAAACCAGTAAATGCATATAAACTTGATAGATGTTTATCTCAGTTTTCAATGTGGTATGTGCCACTATATCTCTGAACATTTGGTACTTAAGAAGGGTTAAAGCTGATCAAGATAGTGCTGCAGTAAATTATTGAGCAGAAGGAAGCCACACCAGCTGACATAATCTGCTTGAGTAAGTGGAGAGAAGCACACATGTTTCAAGGACTTTTTCATCAAAAACTAGAAACAAAACAAAGTTTTGACACTTTTATCACAGGCTGACCATTTCCCATTTGTTTAATTACCTATCAATTAACAGTAAGAAATTAAACGATTTTTGTAAGTAAGCCTACATTTTACGTGAACGTTTTGTTAATTTTAAATACTGTACAATGTACATGATTTTATTGTTCCTCCAATTAAGTTAGACGTTATAAATATTATCTTAAAATGTAAACAGTATTTTTGTTTTTGGACTTCCTTGTTTCCAAAATAAATGTTTAAAACATAAAGCACAATAAAAAAAAAAAACATTTCTACGATACTGGCCTTTATTGAAAGGTCAGAAAATATGAATAAGTTTTTTTTAAAAATGGGTATAAACATTTTGTTTTTATTTATATGGGTGGGGTAAAAACAGTAATTGTAGAACTCCAGCATATCCGGTTTTTCACTTATACTACCTATCATTCGGCTACATAAGGCTGGATATTGCAGTCTACTGTACTTACTTTCCAGAGGTGCTGCTGGCCGATGGTTAAGATACTGCCCTCATGTAGGACAGACCCAGGTTTGAATCCCCACTAGGGTTTACTTTTTCTGTCAGGAGCTCAAATAAAATCCTACCCTGCAGTGACTGTGACTGCACTAGCATCATGTGGGGCCTAAATCCTCAGGTGCAATACTCCCCTGCCTGCTCTCAAAAGTAGTCAATACTAACAGTAATGTTAAAATGACTTACTTTCCAAACACATCCTTCACAGTTTCCACAAGGGTCAGTGTTCTGCTGTGTTCACTTTCTTCGAGAACGTTCTGGATACACAGTGAGTGATGAGGAGCTACCTCTAACCACATGTGGCTTTGAAAAACACATATTTAATCAGCGTATGTATATATATATTTGTGTGTGTGCGTGTTTGTATAAGTAAAGATCCCTTTTCATGCCTTTAGGCGTATCGGGCATATGAGAAGAGCGCCCATATTTTTACAGACCATCAGCACTCGGTGGGTAATGTGGTCAGCATTACACCGACTGTCTTTACTTTCCCATTTTAGGCTGGGTCGACATGCGACGCCCCGTACCATGATAAAAATCCACGGCGCCAGCAGTGGGTTTTGATCGTGGTACGCTGGATTACGAGTCGGACTCGCAACGTCTAAGCCACGGACGCTGCGTGTGTGTGTATATATATATATATATATATTGTTTGTGTGCGTGTATATCAAGCCTGTTCTGTTGTATGGTAATGAATCTTAAAATGTCAGCAAATAAACTAAGAAGAGTTGGAGGCAACTGAGATGTGGTTCTTGAGAAGAAAGTTCAGAATATCTTGGACTGCCAGAAATGGCTAATGAAAGTAGAACATTATATACAAAAATGAGAAGGAGACAAACAAAATTCTTTGGTCATGTAATGAGAAAAGGAGCACTGGAAAATATTGTGACGACTGGAAAGATCACTGGTAGAAGAGGCAGACAGAGGAAGACCAAGAGAAATGATGGTAGATGGCTTAAGACAGTGGCATGGAGAAATATCATCAGTAGAATTGATCCAGAACACCAAAGACTGGGATCTGTGTTGAAGCATGAATGCCTACGCCAGCTAGCAAGGCACTTGATGATGATACATATATATACACACATATATATATGCACACACATACATATATACATGTGTGTAAATGTGTGAGTGTGTGTGTATGTATATAATTATGTGTGTATATACATATTTATGTAAACACACATTCACATATACACACACACTATAATAAATAAAGAATGCTGTGTCTAAATCTATCCCCAGCGAAGCCTGGTAAAACAAAGCTACCCGTACCCCCTCCCCCAATCTTATAGGGTTGGGAAGGAACTATGTCTTGTTTAACTGAACACTAATAATAATAACATTTATTATTATTGTAATTACTGCACAATTAAACACAGCTTAAACCTTTTAAACACATTTTTTCTGAGAGGGTTCATGTGACCTGAGTTCTAGGTTTTGATGCCTATGTATGTAAAATGAACCTTTTTCATTCCTTCAGGCATGCAAGGCATATGGTGCTAGCCCCATATTTTTTAACAGACCAATCTTGTCTTGATTTGAACAATATCTTCTTTTTCTTAGCATTTACCAGGTGTAAACTCTGGCGGAAAATTCTGGTAGTTGGTCCTTTCCTGGCCTTGAGCTAGAACTTGAGTTCTGGGTTAACATCCGTTTTACAGATTTGGCCTATTTGTATGAAGACTGTTGGTTCCTTGCCTCTCAAGCAGATGCACTTCGACTACGATCCCTAAACATTAGCCTTTTGAGACATGCTTGTTGGAGGGGGGATGCAGTGGGTCTATTCTCCTCTCCCCAAATGAGGCCTCAGAACCAACTGGAAGGGAAGGTTAAAAAGAAATCAATTTTTTGTAGGGATTTATACACATGACTATCAACTTAATAGGCAAGCATGCATGTGTGCATGTCCATGCACGCACATACATACACAATTAATATTCAATAAATTCAGTATAAATATATATATTATATACATTACATACATTATATGTATAAATATATACATACACACACACACACAAAAGTAACTAATCGTAAAACAATAAAGATAGACAAGTACATAGACACTAATATTACTATGCAGTGTCACTGAAAATATTCACACCAACACTAAGAATATGCATATTAACACTAACAATGTACACAGAATTACATTAATAATGTAGGCACACTAAAAATATACACAGTAACCCTAATAATGTACACAAACTAATAATATAGACAGTAACACTAATAATTAATACAGTAACATTATTAATATACATAAACTTATAATACACGCACACTGTAACACTAATAATGTACACAAACTAATAATGTACACAGTAACATTATTTTTATACATAAACTAAAAATACACACTGTAAAAACTATGTCGGCCACGCCCTTAGAATGGATAAATCAAGACTTCCTTACCAAGCCCTCATTTGGACACCACAGGGGAAAAGATCTTGTGGAAGACCAAGGGAAACCCTACGTAGAACTATTATCAGGGAAGGCTCGCTCATGGGCCACTCAAACATCCAAGACCTACAACAGATTGCAACGAACCGCCATGCATGGAGAGTCATGACCTCTGCCCTATGTGCCGCACTCGACACAAGAGGAAAGACTAACTAACACACTGTAACACTAATAATATACACAAACTAATAATGTACACAGTAACACTAATAATGTACACAGTAACATTAATAATATACATAAACTTATAATACTAATGATGTACACAAATTAATAATTAACACAGTAATACTATCTACACACAATAATAAGGACATCTACACTAATCATAATGTGCATAAAAAACTCATACTAAAAATATAAACACTCACGCTGACACAATGCACATACACATATTAAACATGTACACACTAAAATTATGCATGCATACTTAAACTAAAGATGTACACACTTACACTTTCAATATGTACACTTACATTAAAATGCACACATATACTAATAACTTGCAAGTTACAACAAAAATGTTCACATTTACACTAATACTTTGCATTACATGTACACTAGTGATGTGCATACTTACACTGTCTACACATTTCCCAATACTAAAATGACCTACCCTCTTTTATCCAACAAATCTCCAGCATTCAAAACAATCTGCCTAATGAGATTCATGCCTTCAGGGCCCCCATCTAAAGCTCCATGGTCTTCATACCTGATGTCAAACAGAAGGCAACAGTTGATGTTAACTCTTTCAGCAGTAAGTAGGTGTTGCTTTAACTCATCCCAAACCGTTAGGGGCCGCGTTAGCTCAGTCGATAAGAGGCTGGCTTTCAAATCCAGCTGCGACTCGCTGCAGCCCGCGATCGGTGTTCGAAACCGGGCGGCTCCCGGGGTTCACCCAGCCTCTAAGAAATGGGTACCAGAGTTGACACTCTGGGGTAAATGGAGGAACGTCGCTGTCGCTACAGAGTTACGGTAACACAGGCGGACAATTCTTATCAGCTGTCCGTACTGGTGGCAGAGCCCTTATGGTTTATAACCATGTGCAATGACGCTGGTTCACATCTCCCGACTTTACCTTTATCCCAAACTAGCTGTCTGTTACCTAAAGCGGTATTTCTCAATTAGCTAAGACGCTCCAATGATCCATTTTCTGCCATGGCTCCCATACTTTGTTATAGTCATACTGCAGAAATTTAACATCAGAATCACAAGATCCCTGTGTGAGATCCAATGACCTAATATCGGAAAGGGGGGGGGGGGGTGAAATACACCCACTGCCTCCCTAGCAAGCATGTCGTCAAAGGTGACTTGAGGAGTTTCCTTAAAAGTCAAGAGTGCATGTGTCTGAAAGGCGAGGAACATATCTTTACATAAATCGGATGTGCATGCAAAACCCTTCTGGAACAAGACCAAGGTCCAGAAGAGGACAAACAACCAGAATTTTCCACAAGTTTACAGCCAATGAACTCTAAGAAGAAAAAGTAGTAGTTGTGCCATGGTCCCCACACTTTAAACAAAATAGTCATACTGAAGAACTTAAAATGTATAAATATTAGAATCATAGAAAAAGTATTGTTTTCTAAAGCTGATGATTTTGCATGTGTAAATGATAACATCAACCTCTTACATTTGCTTGGTGAATCCTGGAAATGGGAAAAACTGCCATAAAGTATAACAGGTCTGGTGAGAAAGGGTTCAAATAATAATACTGACAGACAAAATCAGTTAAAGTAACAACTGGGACAGAATAGGTTACTGTAAAAGACTGATGAATAATGAGTTATGGAATATGCGCAGCTTTTGTGTGTGTGTGTGTGTGTGTTAGCCCTTAAAAGGGTAACTGACCTGTTTTGGTGTGGGTTACAGCTAGGCTGCAATATCTGCACATTTCGGCCAACACGTCTGATTTCAGCATACCCCTAATTAATCCCCTAGTGTGACAAGCTTATTGAGGTTGGAGGCAGTGAGTATATCCCACCCCCCCCTCCAAAAAGGGGCCCCAGATTATGGGTGAGGAGAAATATGCTTATCAATAAACAGTAACAAATAAATACATGGTGAATCATGCCAACATATCTTCCCCGTGTATTTTCATTTCTTATGTGTTCCTATTTCAGTTGCCAAGATATCATTTCTTTCTGATTAATAATAATGTAACAAAGGAGACAGTAGAGGTGTTCACGTATACCTGTAAAAACCCAATCCTCAGAGCTATAGAAGTGTTCATATATCCCTGTAAAAACCCAATCCCTCAGAGCTATAGAAGTGTTCATATATCCCTGTTAAAAACAAAATCCTCAGAGCTATAGAAGTGTTCACATATCCCTGTTAAAACCCAATCATCAGAGCTACAATTGCCACTCTACGGTGTGATTTCAATACTCCACTGAGGAGAATTTCCCCTTTGATGAGTCATGAGAACATTATGGCTTTACTCAAACTAACTGATAGTTGTATAGAGCCATCAGTAAACTATGATAATTAAATATCCAGAGCAAATAAACAATCTTCAGAGGCAAGATTTGCCACGCCACTTCAGGTTTCAAAATTCAAAACAGTTGTGTATCCTTTACAAGATGTTGCAGAACCAACCCTAGCATTTTGGTGTGTGTGGCTACTGTGACAAATTTACATTAAGGAGTTTGCCACCGCCCTCTGAATGTCTGATTTTTAAAACCACTGTCGAAACCAAAGCAATACGGTCTGCTGCCAAACCGCCTGCAGCTGAGATCGAACCCAGCATTAAAAGCATGCCTAAGCCATAGATGCCGACTTCAGGTTATACAATTGAAAAACCGGTATACATTTTTTAAATACATCACTGTTCCATTACAAATTTGTGGCCTGCTCATAAATGTATTCTTAGGAAGATAATATTGAGAGAGTAAAGTCAAGAGGATTGACTTCACTGCACCAGGCTCTACTCCATATGGTTCAATCTCTCTCTACAGAACAGCTAGCTGCACCTGAAAGCATATTCAAAGCACAAATACTGTAGCTATGGAGGAAGATAATGTGGTTCCTCTATTCTTCCGCACTAGAATAGGTGATCTGTGACCCCTTTTGACAGCAATTTCTGGCTGTCAGGACAAATGAATTCCCATTTCTTTCCAGTTGCAGAGCTGTCTACAGTGAAGGCCTTTATTCCCTGAACTTCATTAGCCAAACTTTTATGTCGCCTGTCCTCTACTCAAAATATAACCAACATTATATACGTCTCTAAACCATACTGTATGGCTGCATCGACAATAAAAATTATGAATGATGCAAAGGAACCCTCCAGGCCATTGAAACTACTTTTCTTTTTTTCCCTTCCTCTGCCTGTTTTTACCCCTCTTTAAATCAGTTTAGGAGAGGGAGGTCTGCAGCCTGCGGATTCAGGGTTTCAAGCTGGTGCATTCATCATTAACTATGCAGGTTATTATCGTTTATGTTTACCCCTGCTGAAGAAACTCCACAATCTTACCTAGGAGTCATACCCAGATCTTCAAATTAGGAGCTCTTTGTTTCAACTGCTTGGCCAGCCGCCTCTTGTTAGTTTAAAAAAAATCTAACTAATTACAAAAGCAAGGCATCAGAACCATGCCACAACCTAATTTTGAATGACCACATAAGTAAAATTTCTAGCAGATGATTATTTCAATAACTACTGAGAAAGAGAAAATAGTGCTGCTTTGTACCGTATTATTTCTGGCTGCAGATTTGTCATTTCATCACTTGGAACATATGGTGGGTTACTGACAATAAGAGAATAGGGCCCAAGCTTCTTCAGCTGCTGAAAAACTGATGATATTAAAGATTACTGTAAATATGCAAAGAGCTCTGTAAGTAAGTCAAAATTACTGTCAATATGCAAAGATCTGTAAGTAGGTCAAAATTACTGTAAATAAGTGCACAAAAAATGGAAAGATCTACTTGTACAAAACATTAATGAACTTTTCTTCTTTCGCTCACTTGAAATGAATTATCTATGTCTGCAATTTTGTCTCTAGTATGAACTTCACTGTCTTTTGTAATTCACTCAGCGACCCGTAAAGTTTGACTTGCACCGATGTTTCTCTTGGCAAAAAGTTTTGTCTTGATATGTTGTATTTTAGACAGCCTTGGAGGACATGATCTGTTGTCTCAGGTGCCAATCCACATGTGCACATGGCTAATTCGCAGATTTTAAATATTGTGTACATGAACTCATCAATTCTGTGGTCCACTCATCTGGTCAGCCATTGTTAAAATATGAGCCTGGCCAGCATTTCAGCTCACTTTTCATATTTCTTGATAATGATTTGTATATGTATGTTATGATCATGAGCAGACAACTTAAAGTTCATGCATCAGATTTGTTGCAAATGGTCCAAATAGATTGATTGATACTCAAACTCACAATGATATCACACAGAGGGATATAGCACTTTGTGTTGTGGTTTACAGACAGGCTGCAATATATGTGCCTTTCGGCTCAACACATGATTTTTAGCAAAACCTGAATTAACCACTTTTTACTACATGACCACACACTTGTTCGTTTTAGAGATCATCTTCACTGCACATCGGACATGACCATAACTGCTCCGATCTCCTGAAGGTGAAGGTGATTTTGTGAAACGCTGCGTGTTGAATCAGATGGAGCCACTGTTTCACATGTACCCTGCCGTGATCTTCGCTCATTCAGTCACTGAGTAAGCATGCATTGGTGAACTCCTGAGTTTTCAGCCATTCTAGGGCCTTTGTCACAGCCTACTTGTCAAGGGGTAATAAGTTCACTGTTCCCCCTCCTCCCTCCCCACTCCCCCAAATGTGGACCTGAAAAACACGCTGGGAAATGGTTAAACCAGTTTACTCACGCTATGAAGGTCGTGGGTTTGTTTCACGGCAGCAACATTCAGTTCACAAGTGTAATTTTGGGGTCTGGCACCAGAGCTACAGTGTTCATCCTTTATGCGACACTCTCAGCAGGCGAATAGCCATTCTGCAGAGACCGACTGAGCCATATGGAAGAAAACCTGGTGCCATGAAGTAAATCCTCTTGACTTTAGCCTTTTTTTTTTATACAGAAAAGAAATATATTTACTGCCTGTATTTGTCCCTTTTGAGGCAGAGTAAGACTGAGGTTTCAGAAACAGCTAATGAAGTATTTAAACTATATGTGATAAATAAACAGACAATGTCAGAAACAGCTAATGAAGTATTTAAACTATATGTGATAAATAAACAGACAATGTCAGAAACAGCTAATGAAGCATTTAAACTATATGTGATAAATAAACAGACAATGTAATGATGGGCACTTATAGAAAGAAGTAGAAAGATAGAAGGACACACTAGACTCCAAAAAATCTAATGACATAGTCAATAAACATAACTTTTTTAAGGGGTGCCCAGTTGGTCATGTATTTTTAGTACACATGTTTCCACAGGGAGGCACACATGTCATTCTGAGGTGACAGACACATGTTGTCATTTTGAGGTGACAGACACATGTCATTTTGAGGTAACAGACACCTGTCATTTTGAGGTGACAGACACCTGTCATTTTGAGGTGACAGACACCTGTCATTTTGAGGTGACAGACACATGTCATTTTGAGGTGACAGGTTTGATTCCTAGCAGGGTAACTATAACTTTCAATTTTATGTTGTCTATTTTGTCCTCATATCTTACTACTTCTTTCTATGAGTGCTAATCATTACATTGTCAGTTGTGTTTATTACATATTGATTTTCTGTGACCTTAAGGGCTCCCCCTTTGTTTACTTAATTGAGTATTCATAAACTGTGCAGGTCAGGATTTTTATTTCTGCCTCAACAGAAAAAAATTTAAATTTTCTTACTGAGGATTCAAACATGACTGAAAGCCCAACATTCTAACTGCTAGTCCAGCTTCTCCTCTATAACACAAAAAAACTAATAAAACAAACAATTGTTACAATAAACACATTTAGATAATTCACAGAAATACGAACCAATACTGTTATTAAAATCTCCTTTAATCACTTGCAATCGACCAAGGACACCAACATTTTCTGCATTCTCTGAAGTCAGTTGACAGGCGTGCGGGGAGATGTCTAAAGCAATGCCTTGCAACTGGGGGAAAAATAATGCAAAATTATTTCAGAATATTTAAAAACATCTAATATATTTTCTGCCATTGTTATTTCTAAAAAAAGTAAAATGGTTATGACAAAGGAGAGAAAAATGATACAATTCTACTGAATGAACATACATAAATTACAGACATATTACTTTGAAGAATATATAAAGTAAAAATCGAAATAAATTTGATTAAGTGAGATATTGATTCAGGCATGCCATAACAAACACACACAAAAACGCATGGGAGTAAAGGGGGTGTGTGAAGCCCCCAGCCTGGTTTAAATGTGAAATAATAATAAAATAATTACAATTATAGCATTTATTATTATTAATACAATTAAACAAAACCCATTAAGAACTCCCACGCCCTCCTTTCTTACAGAAAATCTTGGGTTGGGGGGTGTGTTGAGGGTATATTATCCGTACCGACTTTATTTAACTGTGCAATAATAATTATTATTATGCAGTTCAACAAAACTTAAGCCCTTTGAGGCACATCCCCTAGAAAATTAATTGGGGAGGGGGGGGGGGGGGGGGCTCAAAGGGGCTTAAGCTTTATTGAACTATATAATAATATATTATAAATTAACATGTGCTGCAGGGTGACAAAAATATGTTTCAAATAAACAAATGCAGGGAGCAGAAGTCTGTTGCTGTCAATGCAGAGGTCAACACTCTCATCAGTAAAAATTCAAATGAGGCAGATGTACTGATCTACACAGATGGATCCATTATATGCTAACAACAAAGCTCATGGCCGTTCACAGCACGCTCAGTGGGCAGAACAGTCAAAGAAGCAAACGGGGCCTTCTCCATGATAACCAGCAGCATGATGATGGAGGTGATGGCAGTAACGTGAGTCTGAGTGGCGCAAAACACAAAACTACACCCGCGCATGTGTACTCAGTGATTCAATAAGCATGATCTGTAGGCTTCAGTCATTACAGAAGTCCACTGTGCATGGAGTCACCTTTTTTTTTCGCTCTGGGACAAAAGGGTGTTGATAGGTTGGCTGAAACCGCTATCACTACTGACGGTCAACCTGTAGATTATGCTAATATTATTTATGCCCTCTGAGAAATGGGAACGCTGGAGGACTTCGAGGGCAGTGAATCCAAATCACTTGCCAGAATCTCGAAGTAAACAGGAACAAAACTGTAGCAACACTCTTCTCATTGTCTACAAAGGAGGAAAAGTTTACATTAAAATTCAACAATGATGCTGTTCCACGCTCCAATACTCCAACCTTCCTGGGAGTCAAGCTTGACAGTCGTCTGACATGGAAACATCACATACTAGAAACTAACAAAAAAGCCATGAGAAAACAAGGTGTGATGAAGAAATTGGCAGGCACCACTTGGGGAGCAGACAGTTGTATCTTGAAGCAGGTATACACCGGCACAGTCAGACCAACTCTCGAATACGCATCATCGTCATGGATAACAGCAGCCCATTCCAATAAACAGATACTAGACAAAACGCAAAATAGAAGTCTGCGTACAATTCTGGGAGCCATAAAATCTACACCTATTGTAGAAATGGAAAAGGCAGCCAACATCATCCCCTTAGAAGAAAGAAGAAGGACAAAAGCAATTCTACATGCTGAAAAAATGAAGAGAATGTTAAACCACCCATTACACGAAAAATTGGCAGTCAGGACAAAAAACAGAATAAAGCGCAAAAGCCTAAACCATCTAACGAAGGAATTTGGAAAGTCATTCTCTTCACTACTTAACCAACAATGTACACCTGAAGAGCTATCTTTCGATCTCTGGGACTCCAAATTATTGACACTCAATGTGTCAACATCCATCCCGAACCTGGGAAACAAAGATGCTGAGCCCGCTTTAGTGAAGAAAGCACTCACAATAGAACACCTCAACAACATGTTCCCACAGGACAGCTGGACAAGAATCTACACGGATGGATCAGCAAAAGAAGCAACTACGAATGGTGGGGCAGGTGTCTACATAAAACACCCAGATGCCACTACTGTGTCCCTAGCAGCCCCCACCGGACGTACTTGCTCTAACTACAAGGCAGAACTCTCAGCTCTATTGATGGCAGCACAGTATATGAACAATCTGCAAATCACCGCAGGCAGGATAGTTTTTCTCACTGACTCACTGTCAGCTATACAGGCCCTTGAGTCCAAACCTACCGACAGCACACTACAAAGTATAACACAGGAACTTGCTATGTTGTCAAATAAGGCAGAAATTCACTTGCAGTGGATTCCGTCTCACTGTGGCATCAAAGGCAATGAAAGCGCAGATGCTTTAGCCAAGGAAGGCAGTAACAAACTACAGACCTACCAGCCACTATCTTTTCCAGAAGTCAAAACTCTCATTAAGAGAAAATCAGAAACAGACTGGAAAAACAACACTGGTTATGACTACGGAAAAGATTTTCTGAGGCACTTGAACAGAACAGACCAAGTCACAGTTTTTCGCTTACGCACTGGACACTGCAGACTCAATAAACACTCATATAAATTAGGTATGAGCCAAACAGCTCTCTGCCAGTGTCTTCGTGCTGAACAGACTCCAGAACATGTCCTGCAAGACTGTCCTCTCCTGGCGGAGCTGCGGAGCGACATATGGCAACACCCAGTAGAACTGACAACTAAGCTTTGGGGAAACCTAAGAGACCTTGAAAAGACATCCCAGTTTATGACCCACAGTGGATTATGCGCATGACCAGAGATCGCTGAAGAAGAAGACTTGCCAGAATGACAGACTCAGGAGTTAAGATCAGCATAGTAAAAAATGAGACACACACCGGGCACATCAGAGGACTTGTTAATCAACACAGAACTGGTACTATCAGCCATCGGACGTTGGGGTTCATAATGAGGGGAGGATCTGAGCACCTATGGACATGCCCGGAGTGCAATGATGATAACCCAACTAACTAAATGTTTAAAAAGAGTTAATCTATATGTGGGGGAGCGAGGGAAAAAGGGGGGGGGGGGTGAGTGGGCTGCCCTCTAAAATTATTGGAAGGCAGGCTAATCTCCATAAAAACTGGATTCGGGTGCTGAAAAGACCTGAACCTACAGGTTTCAGCAGCCTGTGTTCCAAGTAGATTATTATACTTACTTACCCTTCAACGTATTATTATTATGTTGAATAGCAACAACAACAAAAATACAATAAATCATCATACTTGAAATAATACAAAATGTATAAACAAAGACTTTATTGGGGAGGGAGAGGGTAGGGGGTTTAGTTCATGGATGGAATCCAGTCCAGCAGCTTTGGCCTATCTGGGGGTTTCTTTTTGGGCGTAATTGTCTCCTTAACTCTTTACGGACGAATCGCCAGTTTACTGGATTCAAAGTCTATCCCTTACAAACGAATCGCCAGTTTACTGGATCATGATAGAGACTCTCTAATTTTGTTCTGTTTGTGGGGGAAAACGAACTTTTATGAGCCAGTTTTTGAACAATTAGGAATAACAACAGGAAGTTCTTTCGAGTACGAAGTTTAGCGTGGTCGGTGTACTACTTTGTGATTTGTTTTAGATTTATTCTGTGCGATATAATTTTGTTGTGTGATTTTTCTGAAATGGCAGCTTTCAACCCTTTAACATCCACTGCAGATAGAGCTCAAAGAATGACAAAGACGCAGGCTCTAGATCATATGCAGCGGTTGTTAGATGAAGAAGATAATTCTGGTAGTGATGATAACTTAGATTCGGAATTATCTGACAATGATGTAGATGATGACGATCGAGAATATCAGCCATCTGCTGCAAAACACGCCAGACTAAATGGTAAGAGTAAGGGAAAGCAGAACAATAACAAAGCCTACAAAACTGCCCATACTGCTGCTGTAATTGATGAATCTGAGCCAGATAGTGACAACAAGAGTGTCGACCTTATGAATAATAATAATGCACGTGCAGTATCTGTTGCAGACGTTATGGCTTGGGATGAAGCTGAAGAAAATGTTTCGATCGGATCGTCCTTGTTTCAATCAGCCGAGTGAAATTCGGGCACCACTGGATGAAAATTCAACACCACTGGATTGCTTATTGACACTGCTGATATCATTGACAGCCTTGTTAAAAACATAAATCTTTTTGCAGCGGAAGAAATAAAGAAAATTATACCATTGAGAAAAAGATCTACATAATCTGAGTGGCAGCCAATGACTAGCAAATTTTTTTTCAGTTTATCAGTGTAGTTATAGCAATGCGAGTTACACCGAAACATGACATCAAAGATTACTGGTCTACAGCGAACCATAAATTCACACCATGATTCAAGGTAATGTTTCCAAGAACTAAGTTCTTGCTTGTTTACCAGTCAATGCTGCATGCATCAGAACCCAACGCACAAGGCCAAGCAAAAATTGAGCCATTTGTGAATAATCTAGTAGCAAAGTTTCAGTCGGCATTTTACCCATATGAAAATCTTTCTGTTGATGAGATGGTGATTGCCTTCAAATGCAGGTTTCATGCTAAACAGTACAATGCAGCCAAGCCTCACAAGTATCACATAAAGAAATTTGGTTGGTCTTTGTGATTCAATCACAGGCTATGTTTATAATCTGCTTTGGAGCAAAAACTGCCTACAATCCTGAGTTTGATCCAACATCAACTCATGCTGTAAAAGTATTTTCAACCCTACTGCAGGGTGTTGCAAGTTACCATCATCTATTTGCAGATAGATTTTATACATCACTCCCTCTCATACAATTTCTTTTACCCAGGAAATTAAATTATACTGGCATGGTGAATAAAAACCGCAAAGGATTACCGCAGCAGTTAAAACAACAACCAACCATCTTTGGAACTCTGAGATGGTTAGTTAATAATGAGCGGAATATCCTTTGCGTTTTCTGGAGAGATAAAAAAATCCAAAAAAACCTTGCATCCTACTGACCACAAATGGAAGTTCTACATTTGAGGAACACCAGGAAGGGAGTCTAAAGGTTCAGAAACCTAGCCCCTATTCACTCATACAGTATGACAATCGCAAAACTAAGAAGTGGTGGAAAAAGGTTTTCGCGTGGATCATGGAAGTGACACAGGTCAATGCTCAAATCTTGTAATGTTATCCCATCATGCGCCCCCAAGCAGATGAGTCTTGCAAATTTCAAAGACGAGCTCAACCAGCTGTTGGGGCAGAACATTTAGCTGACTATACTGGTGCAGACAAGCAATGTGTACAGTGCAGCAAGAAAAAGATTTGAAAACACAGCAGATTTTAACTGTGTTGGATGTGCTGACAAGCCTCATCTGTGCCCCAATGCATGTTTTAGGGCATATCACACCCAGTAAGGTGGTTGTATTCAGGATCAATATCATCATCATTGTCAGATAAATAAAGTCTTAAGTCGTAACTTGGTCAGATAAATAAAGTCTTAAGTCGTCACTGGAATTGTCCTTATATATTATGTAAATATTTTTTTCCTGGCTGTTTTGAAATTTGACGCGTCAGACAAAAATGATGATAAAATCCAAATTAATTGGAATAATTGTTTCAAATAAAGACTAGCTTATGCATAATTGAATAGAGAAGGCATGTGAATTCTTAGAAATGGATAGCTATGCTGCTAAACAAGTAAAAGAATAAGGTAAGAACAACATTGCATGTCTAAAATATTTTTTTTGGGTCTAACATACTCTAATGTGGTGTCACTGTTGTATGTTATTGTTGCAATACTGATCCTTAGATAGCTTACATGCATTCTGCATTCATTTCTCTTTAATTTGATGTATTACATGGTACTATTATTTTATTATGGACAGATCAGAACAAGTCATTATCCTCAGCCTCAGAACAGGGCACAACCGATTACGTAACCACATGTACACAAAATTCAAGATAGGCGTATCAGCCATGTGCACCTGTGGAAAGGTGCCCCAGACAGCAGAGCATGTACTCCACGACTGCACCGAATTTGACACATTAAGACAAACCTTTTGGCTAGAAAGAACAACAGTGGAACGTAAACTCTATGGACCACTGAATGAATTAACAACAACAGTAAAATTTATACAAGAGACAAAATTGCTGATATAGACAACTTATTTCAGGCGAACGAAAGAAGAAGAAGAAGAACATGGTACTATACTCAGCCAGTACTTTTTCAACAGGACGGTTTTAGCTTTGTCATTTTGCTGTTACAAAATTCAGTAAAACAGTTTTCCTTTTCATTCCGTTATTCTAAAATTTGACATGTCACACAAGAATTGTCATAAAATGCAGTATTCAGGATAATTGTCTCAAATAAAGGCTTGCTGACACATATTTGAATAAAGAAGGCATGTGCATTCTGAAAAATGGGGAGAAGTGTTTTTGATCCAGCAAAAAAAGTGAGGTATACACAACATTTCTCACCCCCCAAAAGAAATTCCTGTGCGTCTAACATCATAGAATATGGTGTTGTTTTAATATGTTATTGTTGCAATACTGATCCTTAGATAGTTTACATGCATTCTGCATTCATTTCTCTTTAATTTGATGTATTACATGGTACTATACAGCCAGTACTTTTTCAACAGGACAGTTTTAGGTTTGTCAGGTTGCTGTTAAAAAATTCAGCTCAAAATTAATGCTGTCCAAACCCCAGAAACAGTGCCGTGCTGAAAGAGTTAATCCCTTTATCTCTCATTTTAATGCCTGTACTGGTTTCCTCTCTGGATGTGTTCAATGTAGCACCATCTTCTAGTGGTTACCCCCTGGATTTCTATTAACTTATTTCACTCCTTTTGAATTCATCCCATTTTATTTTCATCATTTTCCTCGGACACTGGTTTCTGAATGAATTTAACATTTGTTCCACATCTTTAGTGGTTCTCCTACTTTCACTTGCATTTGTTAAAAGTGAAACAACACCTATGAAAGGATAATGTGTAAACAAAAAATATTTTTTAAAAGACACAAAGTATTTACAAACTTTTCAATGACTTTACCATAACTATTTTGTTCAACACTGTGTTAGAATACAACTCTACTCTGTTCTATTGTCAAATTCTGCTCTTAGGTATTTACTGAACATTACAAGTTTGAAAACAATGCATTTTATACATTTAAAAAAAAATATTTCGAACAAAATTCAGAGTGGTCCAGGTAAGTATCATTCTACAACTGGGTTTTTTTTTTCTCCCTCTCTGTTAACAGAATAATTTTTATTTCTTTTCGTTCTCCCTGGAGGGAGGAGTTGTGTTGTACCAGTTTCAGGTTTGGCTGTGACATCTTTCTCGACTATCTGTGCCTTTCGGCCCAGCACCTCCAGCTTTTGCATGCTTTTCTGTTAGGATGAGCTTCCTTAGTCCATTGTTAACCTAGACCTATTCATTGTACAATGGAGGTTTAGTTATCAGAGTTCCTTTTCCTAGATGTACTGCTGTTCCCAGCTGACAAGCTCCATCTGCTCAATGTATATCTGTTTTATAAAGGTGGGGGCTGTCTATCCCATGTTTCAATCCTCAACCTAAAGGATCAAAAGGTGTCTCTCTTATCTGTTCTTCTACCATTTCATCTGTCTGGCTTGGATGGGCCTGTTTGCATAGCTCCCAGGGTCATTGAGAAGCTCAGGCTCTTTCACCAGGGTAAGGTGGAGGAAACCTTTAAGGAAAACATCATATCTGAATTCTTGTATATATATATATATATATATATATATATATTTTTTGTTTTTATCGTTTCCATATTTTGAATTATATTGTTTTATAGTGGTCTGAATTCTTGTATATATATATATATATTTTTTGTTTTTATCGTTTCCATATTTTGAATTATATTGTTTTATAGTGGTGTTTGCTGACTACAGCTTGTCACTGTGTCATTTTTTTAAATAGAAATTGTATTCCGTAAAGCTAACATTCACTTCATGTATGTCCAAAGTATTTTTTACATAACAAAAATTAAAGAAACATACAAAGATATTATCACTTACTTTTACTGCCTATAGAAAACGATGTAGAGAAAGCTTATGCTGCCATTTCTTAATTTACTTAAAAACAACAAATAAAAGTAAATTCATACCTGTTTAAGCATCTTGAGTAAATATATGGAAACGGCACCAGTGCCCACACCAATCTCCAGAAAATGTGAATTCAACAAATGTTCACTCTGATTTAAAGTGGCCACACACAAGCTTGCTAGTTCCTACAAGTTGAAATGATCACACATACACCTTAGATCACAGTGTGGTTTACATGTAAACTTTAGTTTAAAACTGGAACTTGAATGCACTACTGTTTCAGTCTGTCACTTAAATGTATATCTCATTATCAGACAATGACATCAATGTAAACCTCATTTTCAGATTATTGAACACATATGTATATCTCATTTTTCGACCAGCGCTTAAATACAGATCTCAGTTTCAGACTATAATTTATTCAACTCTCAGTTTCAGACAAAGACTTAAAAGTACATATTTTCATACTGGCTTAAATGCAGATCACAGTTTCAGACCATGATATATATATATATATATTCATATAAAAAAATCAATGTTTGTGTGTTTGTATAGACTCGGAAACTACTAAACCGATTTTGCTGAATTTTTCAGGAATGTTTGTTTTGATACCTGTCATGGTTAGAAATAGGTGACGACATTTGTGGCGATATTTGTTATGAAAATTTTCGAAACAAATATTTTAATTTTAGTGACATTTAATTAAAGCCACATTCGTAAATGCGCAAGCGCAGTAGTCGGAACGCACAACTTCCACCATTCGCTGGCCTGGTACAGCAAACCAGACTATCTCTATATCTACGCAGGCAATGATTGCGCCATTAACCATATTAGACACAATTTCTATTTTCTTTCTTTTCAAACAACCTTCGATAAGTTAGAGAGTAGTCAGTGGATTTAAGAAAGGGGAGCCCATCGAAGACTATCTCTATGTCTGCACAGACAATGACTGCGACATTAACCATATTAGACACCTTTGAATTTGATTGTTGTGCCGTTTCAATAATATTTGAAGTTTACATCTGGGATATCTGCCTATGAGAAAACAATTGCCTGCAGTTTTGAGCTGTGTTAGAATCGGGACATAGTAGTCGGGACACACATCTCAAATAGTTTTGTTCTTTTTTCGTTGTTTAGAAGGAGTGGTTGGTTCGCTGAACGGTTAGAACACCGGGCTCCTGTGCGGGAGAGCAGTATTTGAATCCCTGGTACGGCATCTGATTTTTGATTTTTTTACCCCGGTGCAAAATAAACCCTCACCTGCACTGTCATGGCGACAGAACTAGCCATGAGGCCCTAAATACTAAAAAGAACATTACAGGTATGTAAACCAGTTGATAATTAAATTTGACCATTTCACATACCTATGATTTTATTTCAAACTTTCAGATTGCATAATAACGCCAAATTTTTATAGATTTCCATTTATTTTCATTTTGATTTAATTATTTCGTCTGACATTGCGTTTGAATTAGGCCGTGTTGTATACCATAGCATTTTTTTTGGTAATTATAGTGTATTTTTCCTGTTTTCTTTGCTTTTCACTTTTTTTCCCCTACTACTTCGATGAGGGAAAGAGTAGTCGGTGAATTTAGGGGGGGGGGGGTGTGTAACAAACTGTTAACTGAGAGAGCTATAAGTCACAGTAACTGCCTTACTCACTTAAAGTAGCAGTAGTAGTTGTGGTTGGGCAGTTACACCGGTAAGGTGATGCCGTTTTTCTGTCGGGGAGCGAAATTACACATCCTTACCTGACCAGTCCATTACGATAGCCATAGCCATGCGGTGCCAAATCTTCTGGCTCGCGACTCCCTGTCTACTCTGATGGTAAAACAGCAGTGACATTATTTTAGTTATTGTGGTGGTGGTAGTAGTTGTACTGGTACTTAAAAGATGGTGTGGTAAATATTACACTAGCCGCATTTACTACTAATTACAATTCCTGCTCCCGATTTTAGTCCGGATGGACAGAGATTTCAAGGTCAGTTACAAAAAATATCCTGATGATGACTTTCAAATCTTTCGAAGAGGGAGAGAGCAGTAGTCGGTGGATGGGGGAGGGGAGGGGGTGATGACTGAAATTGTTAACTTATAGAGCTTTACACATGATTCCAAAGTTTTCATTTCTTAATTTGTTTACATTTTACTAATGCTGCTTCCGTTATTCATATTTTTTTTACGACTTACTTGGTTATTCACAAGTATAGTAGTAAGCTTTACTTCCATCTCTTAAAAAAAATACAAACAGTGTGTGATAACCAAATAACTATTTTTTTAAACTGTCCTAATAATACCATTTAAACGACCACTAATATAAAGACACAATCATATGTTGCGTGTTCTAAAGTCAGAAAACCAGACTATCTCTATATCTGTGCAAACAATGATTGGGACATTAACTACTATATTAGACAGGTGTGATTTCTATTGTCTTTCTTTTTCAAGAATCTTCGATGAGGGAGAGAGTAGCTGGTGGATTTCGGGGGGGGGGGGAGCATTTTCAAATCCTTCGGAGAGAAAGAGAACAGTAGTCGGTGGATAAAAAACGTCAGGTGATGATTTTCAAATACTTCGGAGAGGGAGAGAGCAGTAGTCCGTGGATGGGGGAGGGGAGAGGGTGATGACAGAAACTGTTAACTTAGAGAGCTTAGCACACGATTTTACAGTTTTCATTTCTTAATTTGTTTTATTTTACTAAAGCTACCTCAGCTATTCTAACTTTTTGTTTTTTGGTTTTGTGCAAGTACAGTAGTAAGCTTTACTTCTGTCTCTTTAAAAAATACAAACAGCTTTAGCATGTGATAACCAAAAAACCATGATTTAAAGTCCTAATAATTCAATTTAAATGACAACTATAATTACACAATTATATGTTGCGTGTTCTAGAGTTGGCAAACCAGATTATCTCTATATTTGTGCAGGAAATGATTGCGACATTAACCACGTGCGATTTCTATTTTCTTTCTTTTAAAATATATATATATATATATATATATATATATATATATATATATATATATATATATATATATATATATATATATATATATTTTTTTTTTTTCATTCTGGCTTAAATGTAGATTTAAGTTTCAGGTTGTGATATATATATATATATATATATATATATATATATATATATATATATATATATATATATATATATATATATATATATGATTCAGAACATAACTCTAAATCTCAGATTCAGAACAAAATAAATACATATATACGTATCTCACATCAGAATGTAACTTACATAGCACAAATTTTGATTATGACTAGTATATATATCTCAAATTCAGAGGGTAACAAATGTTGTAGCTGAACATCTCTAGGACTGCATGCCATTACCACACGGTGACCAAAACAGTCACCATTTGGATGATAATGACCCAGGCAAAGGCCCCAGCCAACTGTAAAGTGATAGTCCCCCCCCCCTCCTCTTGTTTTCACAGTTACAAAGTAACCTGGTTCAGCTGGGAGAATCAGACATATAGTATATGCCTTAGCTTTAAGCAAGAATATACATGTACATCTCATTTAAATATATATTTCAGTGTCCGACTTATATATATGTGCATACCTCAGTCTCAGGTCTAGGAATAAGAACTGGTGACTTCATTTTCAAAGTGAGAGCATGAAAATCCCATTCTCCTATAATATATTGTACTGGCATTCTGCGGAGAAATAGAAAATGAATTAGGTACTTCTATTAAGGCAACATCATTTTAAAAAATCAAACTTAATGATAAGTATAACTAGTCACAGATATAAGACAAAGGAGACAGCCCTGTATAAGACACATCCCGAGAAGCATCAAACAGAGAATTACAAAGACGGCACTTTAATGGAAAATAAAGGGACATAGGAAGTGAGGCCGTCCAGAAGAAACCCAAACCTTAAAAGTAACCTTAATGGGAGAGGCAAAAGTTGCTGGAATGGATTCTATCCATGATATCGAAGGGATTGCACAGAATAGAATGCAATGGAGGATTACTGATTTACTGATTTAAGAATCCACTTCACAGCACACCGGGCATACCCATAGATATCCCTCTCCCGCAGCAAATGTCTTAAGGTGTAGATACTAACGGTTCCCATAGCATACTGATTATACACACCTGGTTCTCTTCCTCTCATCCATCCCTCCTTGCCGGATCCACACTTAATTTCTCATTCCCACATTCTTGCTCACATTATTTCATCTCGTGTCTTCTGTCAAAAGTCGTTCACATATGGTCTTCAGAATATCTCTCTTGTCCAGTATGAGTGTTCCGGTAGCTTTCGCTTTTGTAGCCGGAAAATCTGCTCTTTCATTCCCTCATACTCCTGCATGACCCAGACAGTATATCCATGTGATTCACTGCAATGTTAGTGCACTGACGCATGGTATCCATTCATGAAATATTAGTCCATTTTGAACTTTCCGCAGTGCCAACTGAGATTCAGACACTATAATTACTCTGGTAACTTTGTTTTCTGCTATGCTATTCAGAGCTGAAGTGACTACCTCCACTTCCATTCTCATGCTTGAGTTTCTAGATAATAAAGCTCCAATTTGTTCTGCCTCAATCTTTCTATTCATGCTTTTGTTTTTGACTTAATATTCACATGCATATTATTACATGAACATAACATGCTTTATTGATGAGATACAACTGCTGTGTGAAAGATGGGAGTTTGGAAGGGCCGAACGTAAGACATGCTTGCGTGCCTAATTTGTAACCCTTTGAAAATAAACTTTGTTTGTTCGTTCGTTTATTCATTCTAGCTGAAAATGGAGGAATAGACTGTGAGCACTACGTGACATATTAGACAGATGTAGCTCCAATTTACCAATGTACTTCATACCACATATCTCTGACTTTGCATGCAGTCTCAGGCAAAGTGTTTTTAGTGGGTTTAAAGTGCTTCAGGATAGCCATTTAAGTGATTTTGTGTATTCGTGTGGTTTTGTTTGAATTATGCATGAGCAGATAAAGGCTGTGTAGCCCCAACATTCACTTTTCATTTGTGTTTGTTATATTGTGAAGTTCGCTAATCGACTTTTTGTTCAGTTTTATATCTTTCCATGATAATCCTAGTGGAGATCATAGTTGATCCTTCCTTTATTAGTAAGACTAGCGTCAGCCCAGAATGCCTTACATGAAAGCAAAAAGACATCCTCTCCCCCCTTCTGCATTCACCCGTAAAAGGATAGTTGACCCACTGTGTTGTGGTTTACAGCTAGGCCATGATATATGCACTTTTTGGCTAAACACATCTGATTTCAGCAAACCTATTATCACTCACCCTTTACAACATGCTTTTTAAGAGGCAGTGGGTCTACCCCCCCCCCCCCCCCCCCCCCCGATTCCTCCAAAGTGTGAGGGGCTCTAGAGCTTACATAGGAAAAAGAAAAGAAAGATCCTGGCTGAAATTAAACTGCTAACTGGCATCTCTGCATCCTAATGAAGGAGTTTTGACCTGATTCTAAATTCAGACGGCAATAGAAATTCAAATCTATTGCAACACCATTATAAATGTACATATCAAAACAAAAGTGAATTTCTGGGTTTAATGTAAAAAAAAAAAAAAAGGTAAGAAGGAAATGTATAAAAAGTTTAGAGTATTTATGTTTCTACTGGGGGGGGGGGGGGGGGGGGGGGGGGGGGGGGGGGAAATTAGAATTAAGGCAGCTGGTAAACATAGATTAAAAAAGATACCAGGAAATATTCTGAGGAGTAAAGGTGACCTGTGTGAGACTGAGCACATTTCTCATTAGGTGGTAACATTTATACCAGAGCTATTCAACTAGTGGCCTGCAAAGGCCTATCAAGTTTTCCACGGATCATTGCCAGTTGCATTGTATTATTGATCATTCTCTGCTGGGACTCAACCATCTGACGATCCTCATTGTCAACAATTTAGTTCCTGACTAAACTTGGTTAAATAGCCCTGGTTTACATACAAAAATAGGCTACCACCACATGCTCAAACTAACCCTGGCTCCCAGTTTGACAGAGCCTAAAACAGTTAACAGGGATGTCCTGGTAAGTAAAGCATAATTCTGCCCACATCAACCACCAAAAGCCACCTGGTTTATAAAAATCTGATTATAGCGCACAATATGGCACTGGCATAAAAAGGGTCCTCAATTTTTTGTTTACCTCATGTTCAACATGCTGCAAAAGCATGGAAATGGGCCATTTACATTTGCCTGTATAGTTAAATTTGTTTAGAAAAAGCAATACTCAACCAAGAAGTGGGGTTGTTCTTCTAAGAGAAGAATGATGATACAGTGTAGAGAAACCCAAAACGGGTCTGGCTCGTCCATGCATACCTTTACACCTAGGAAAATCTCCAGAATTTGCACCTGGAGTGTTAGAACCTTGTACAATGTAGAGGTAGTGGTAGTGAAAGGAATAAATGATTATAGGATTAGTATTTTAGGATAATGTGATGGACCGGAGAAGAGAAAAGTAGTCTTGATTCAGGTAGAACTATTTTATTCTCAGGCCGTACAGAGGATGAAGAAAATCTGAGAATAGAATGTATCTTCACTGGAACCCATGGGGGCACAGAAATAAAGGCAGACCACACAAAGGAAGGAGTTAGAAATGTAAGCAGGGCAAGGGGTAAGCCGCATAGTAAAGGATTTGCGATAGTAAAGGATTTGCTTGAGTTTTTCAGTCAAGACCATCTCCGTCTGAGGGGCCATGCTGCTGGTGTTACCATCTTAGTTCAGGGGCTATGCTCCACTGGTAAATAAGCGCACCAGAAAAAGAAGAAGAAGAAAAAACAACAAATATGCACCTTGCTAGCCGCAGTCGACAGAGCCTGTTTACTTGACTGACTTCCGATGATGTAAGTGTTGTATGTTGGTCAACACGGTGTAGCTGTAAAAAAAATATTTATAAAATTAAAATACTCTAACCCCTTTAGTCTCTTTCCACACATCTGATATCCAAATTAAATCTAATAATTATCAGCAGTGGCTGGCTGAGTGGTTTGAGTTCTGGACTCTCTTGCAAGAGACTCAGGTGTCATCTGCACTCAGGAACTGAAAAACATCATTGAAATAAACCCACGACCATCAGAGCATGGACAAACAATTTGACCATTTCATCACAGAGACCCCCCACAGTAAACAATAGTTTTCCAAATGAGGAAAAAGTGACCAGGGAATTAATTTTAAAAAAAACCAGGTTTCACATAGAATGTTGCAGTAAAAATGCCTGATAAGGTGAAGGACTTTATCTACGGGAGGGAAATAGATAGCTAGCTTGTATACTGCTTAGCAACTGAGCGAGAGGCAATTATCCCTCAGCATGGAACCAATTTTCTGGCAAAAACTAGCAATGATTCATCATCACCCTGTTGTACCTTTGCCAGGAAACTCTGGGGGTAAAAGGGAATTAATGAGCGGACTGGCTTGCTGGCAGGGCCACAGTAGGCACAGTAAAAGCAATGGACCAGGCTGACATGCTTAATGCTCTCAAGGAGGCAGGATGAGAAGAAGATTCAGAAGACAACGCTAAATCAGCAATACTCAAAAGACTACAAGAACTTGAGGTCAAAAGAGGTGTGGCTAAACAGGAACACTATACATGTAGCTAAAGAAGAATAGTAAACACAGAACTAGTGTTATCAGTCACCACACGCTGCGGGATATACTGAAGATGGGATCCAAGCACTTATGGACTTGTCAGATGTGCAATAAGGAAAATATACCGATTAACTATTTAACTCAGTGATTCTAAAACTGTGTGGGGCGGCGCCCCAGAGAGCAACAACCTCTTCACAGGGGCGCCGTGAAATATTGTAAAAGCTTCATAATTAAATTAACCAAGACACGAATAGTCATACTTTTATTTAGGTTAGGGCGCCGCAGAAAAATTATAATTAAAAAAGGTGCAGCGACCAAGAAAAATTTGGGAAACACTGATCTAACGAATTAATGTTGTAACTTTATAAGTCATACAGGCATTCTGTGCAATTATTTAAATAACATGAAAGGAATCCAGTCCAGCATCTTTAGCTCTGATGAACATTTGCCTAAGGGTTTCTTTTGGTCACTTATATACTGCCATCTTCTTTGTTTTATAACTGTTGAAACTAGTGGTCGTCCAGATGTTTCTCTTGTTTCTTCAAATTTCTTTAATAGCATCCCATCTAATTTTTTTCAATTTCCTTAGTCATTTGTTATCAAATGCATTTAACTTTCGTCCCATGTCTTCGGTGCTACTCTTACTGGCATATGTTAAACTAAAACAATATAGGTATCAATAATGACAAATAACAGCGGAAATGTAGTAATAGTCTTCCTAGTGACACTCACCGTTTTATGGCCAAGTACGTGAGCAATGATTATTTCTGCACTGACATCTGGTTCTGAGATATCATGTAAAGAGAACTCCGTGGTCCACTTCTTGACAAGGTCCCTGACATAGTCTGACCCACTGTTTATGTGGCAGCCATGGTTATACTGTGATGAAACTTTTCTTATCTGGGACAGGAACATTTGTGTCTATTGAAAATAAGAAGTTTGATTAAAGTAAGGTCATCATAAAAGTGTTCATATATTTAGCTGGGGGAGGGGGGATAAAACATATCAAGGTGTATGTATTAGATCAAACTGGATGAATGTTGCATTACTTTAATTTTTCCTTATCATTTTAAATTCTACTGTACAGTTTCAGATTAATATATATTGTACAAAGTCTATACATGGGAAAATATTCTGCACACAGTGCTCACACTATATATGTTGGCTCTTTCTCTCTCTCTCTCTCAAAATGTGTTCTTCTTCTTCTTCAACTTCATCATCATGTATAACTTTAACTCTGAGAATACAACTGAAGTAATCAGCAGCAATGAGGTTTTGTCCTCTGTATGGCTGTATATGTATGTTGTTTAGATATCTTTAAAACTGTGGTTAATAAAGTTTGATGAAGCATATAGGTTTACTAAAATATTTTCATGTGTAATGTTTTAAATCTGAAATATCCAAAATCATCCCTGGTCGCTGGTATTTCCTCTGTATGTTTGTGTAAATAGGTTGTCTAGATGTTTGTAAAATTGTGGTTGATGGTTGAAGTTCAGTGGTGCATGCATGTTTTCATGTGTAAAGTTTTGAATCTAAAATGTCCAAAGTCTGCCCTGATGGTTGGTGTGTGTTCTAACAATATCCTCAGATGTCTATAATATGACTGGACTTGACCTGATATTTTGAGCTGCCAGGCTGAAAGAATGTCTGAGACTTTCTTGTGCTGTGACTGTTTCTGCATGAGTTCTGAAACCTGAAGGTTTAGTCACTAAGTGACTCTCAGAAAGAGGGGTGGGGGGGGGGTATGGGGAGGGGTTCAGCCCTCTGCAGTATGTGTAAACCTCTGAAACAAATTACCGTATTTCCCCAAGCATAAGATACACATATTTTTAATAAAACATTTCGGGTGTAAGGACAGTGTCCATCTTACAAATGGTAGTATATTACTTTTTTTTCCTACAAAACTACCAGGCTGAAAATCAAGGTTCATCTCATGCATGGGAGCATGTCACACTTGGGAAAATATTATAGGTGTTGTTCTCTTACAAATATTTGTTTACACATTTCAAATTTTTAAACATATATTAATAAATTCAGCATATAATAATCATTGACCTCATTTTAGTGTTCACCAGCTACAAACATTGGCAAACAATTATGTTTGTTCATATACCCATATGAACGTTGGTCTTATTCTAGAACTTTTTAACAACAAGCTTGTCACAGTGGGTCTATCCCACCCCCCCCCCCCCCCCCCCCCCCCCCCCCCCATGGGGCCATTGAGCTTACAAAGAAAAAAATAATAATTAATTACTTACAAAGAAAATAATAATAATTACGACCTAAGCTATATGAGCCCCCCTCCGACAATATTACAATATTAGTGGGGGGATTGAGGTCTCCAACCGCACCCAGCGCTTTAATATTTATTTGTTTGCTGGGGTCCCTGCTTGTCAGGTATGTGTTAGTGTGAGAAACGATATTAACGACAATGAATGAACAATGTTTCCGAGTTGATTTATCATTTATGAGCTCAGAAACATTGTTCATTGTGTAGAGTAGTAATACAGTACAGGCCTAACTATAACTGAATCATTTACCTTCATTGTATTCTGGCAGCTGGCTGAAAGCAATCTGCAGTTTAGACGAGTTCTTAGTACTTGCCTTAACACACGGCATACAATCATTGCACTAACGTTTTATAATTTATAAACCATTGTGTCGAATGGTGTGTGTTCATGACTGTTTAACTCTTCACTGAATAGTTCGGAATTCCTACACTTCGATTTCAGCCAGATCCCCAAAGTTTTGTTTACATAATTCCTGACATTCCATTTTATGCCGAAGTTTAAACGATCATAAATAATAATTAATATATATATGTATATATAAAACAAAACATGCACGTCTGCACACCCACGTGGAAATGCACGTATACGTGTTTGCATACACACATGTATAGATATATACACACAGGTATATTTGCAAACACACGCGTGCTCAACGTCTCCCTACTAAGATTAGGATGACCTTTAACCCCATCAGGACATCATACTCAGCGAAAAACACCCGGTAACACAAAGTGCCACCATGCGGTAAGGATCAACCGGGGACAGGTCCAATAAAACTCGATCAACAGAAAGGTTGGGTTATATATAGTAGGGCCCCTGACAACAGCCCTGAAACAACAACAAAATTGCGTCAAAAATGGGATGCTGTATGCTAATTTCAATGCTAAGGGACATAACCTAATAATTTGTAGACACCTAGTTCTACCAAAGTAGCAAATTTGGTTTTCAAATTACCACATTAATCGACAATGAATTTAATCTTCAATGATAAGAGCACACTTATTTCGGTATTGATTATTCAAATACGACACGAAATATCAAAATTGATAAATGCCTGCCTGCAGTGTATTGAAGAAATATCAAGTATTTTACGCCAAGAGCCCTGCAAATCAAAAGTCTTAACTATAGTCGGAATAACTCAACCATAACTTACTAAAAGTGAAAGACTTTGTCGAGGAGGGAAAGTAGCTCCCTCGAGCGAAACCCCTTATGTTCTGAATAAGTTAAACGAGTGCGGATGTCCAGGAAGATCAGACACGATACATGGAAATATCAACTATCCATTCGCTGGTTACTGGGCGATGACGATGAGCTTACATGACACAATTCCTTCTCCGCCATCTCTTGAACGAACGAATGAACTTTATTTTTAAAGGGTTACAAATTAGGCCCTTCCAAACTTCCATCGTTCACACAGCAGCTGTATTTCATCAATGAAGCATGTTATATTCATGTAATAATATGCATATTATGGATATGCAAAAAAAAAAAAAAAAGCATGTGTGGCAAAATATGTGCGCTCGCGCGCGAACACCCACATATACACACAAACCCATTCACTCACTTACACACAAACACATAGGCACCCAGTACACACATACGTCCACATACATACGAACATGCACACACACACACACATACATACATACATGCATACATACATACATACATACATACATACATACATACATACATACATACATACATACATACATACATACATACATACATACATACATACATACATACATACATACATACATACATACATACATACATACATACATACATACATACATACATACATACATACATACATACATACATACATACATACATACATACATACATACATACATACATACATACATACATACATACATACATACATACATACATACATACATACATACATACATACATACATACATACATACATACATACATACATACATACATACATACATACATACATACATACATACATACATACATACATACATACATACATACATACATACATACATACATACATACATACATACATACATACATACATACATACATACATACATACATACATACATACATGCATGCATGCATGCATGCATGCATGCATGCATACATACATACATACATACATACATACATACATTCATACATACATACATACATACATACACTCATACACACAGACACACGCTCTAAAGCACACACGCATACAACCCAGACACATTTTGAGGACACAATAGACAATCAGAAGAAAAAAATAAATGCACTAGTGGTTACACAGGACTCCAATCTATTGCCTTATCTCTGGAATCCACAAGGTAAAAGAAACAGGGAAACGCCAAAACGCACACTCTAGTAATTAGACAGAAAGGGGTCTTTGTTAGCGGCATATTATGGCGAAATAAGGAAGATTTGAACTTAGACTGAGCATTTGTTCTAACTGGGAAGTATAAAAAAAATACATTTTATCGTCGACACTGATTTAAAATTATAACGCAAACGTTTAAAATAAAGACGTGGTGGTGGTAGTAATAGTATTAGTAGCAGCAGCAGCAGCAGCAGTAGTAGTAGTAGTAGTAGTAGTAGTAGTAGTAGTAGTAGTAGTAGTAGTAGTAGTAGTAGTAGTAGTAGTAGTAGTAGTAGTAGTAGTAGTAGTAGTAGTAGTAGCAGCAGGAGTAACAGTAGTAGAAGCAAAAGTAGCAGTAGTAATAACAGCAACAGGAGTAACAGTTCTAGTAGTAGCAGCAGCAGCAGCAGTAGTACTATTAACAGCCGCAGTAGCAGTAGTAGTAGCAGCAGCAGTAGCAGACGTAATAGCAGCAATAGGAGTAAAAGTACTAGTAGTAGTAGTAGTAGATGTTGTTGTTATTGTAGTAGTAGTAGTAGTAGTAGTAGTAGTAGTAGTAGTAGTAGTAGTAGTAGTAGTAGTAGTAGTAGTAGTAGTAGTAGTAGTAGTAGTAGCAGCAGCAGCAGTAGTAGCAACAGCAGTAGTAGCAGCAGCAGTAGCAGTATAAATAGTGGTAGTAGCAATATTAGTAGTAGCAGTAGTAATAGCAACAGCAGTAGAAATAGTAGCAGCAGCAGCAGCAGCAGCAGCAGCAGCAGCAGCAGTAGTAGTAGTAGTAGTAGTAGTAGTAGTAGTAATAGCAACAGCAGTAGAAATAGTAGCAGCAGCAGCAGCAGTAGTAGTAGTAGTAGTAGTAATAGTAGTAGTAGTAGTAGTAGTAGTAGTAGTAGTAGTAGTAGTAGTAGTAGTAGTAGTAGTAGTAGTAGTAGTAGTAATAGTAGTAATATAAGTAGTAGTAGTATTAGTGGTGGTTGTGGTGGTCAGGGCTTTTGTTCTTTAAAACAAAAATGTATCAGTACTCATACAAAGTGTCTTCTACAGCAGTTTGAAAAAAAAGGATGCTTCTAAAGGAAGGGAGAAATCTGGATTACGTCGTGAAAATGAAAGTCTGAAGGGAAGAGAGGCGAAGACAGAAGATATTGCTGTTTCGTTTGCAGAAGGTGAACTGAACTGAACTGACTTTTTACCCCACCAAGACATCACACAAGCGATAAACACCCGATGACACAAAGTGCCACCA